ACCCCCCCCCCCCACCATTAATTTACTATATCAGCTTTAGCTAGCTAACATCTTTTCCTGTCTCAAACATATGAACATCAGGCGGTATTCTCCCAAGTAGGAGAATCCCAAGTCTTACCAATAAATTTGTTGGGCAGAGGCCTATACTCTAAATTGATCAAGGTCAGAGAAGTCCAACTCAGTGAGTTATATAAAATTACTCATAAAAGTCAGAAAAAGCGAGAGAGACTGAATCCGTCCAGACTAAAAGGTCTACTCATGTCACCCAAAGATTATTAAGATCATAACTAGTAAACAAAGGAGAATGGAATCGGACATTAATGGCCAAAAATGGGTGGGTTGGAAACAAGGTCTAATTGTTGGACAAAATAGTGAGGGGATGGGCTATTCTGTCCATTAACCCCTGGGTCCTTTTGAAAGACTTCTGGGGGATCTAAAGCTGGCAAATGGGTGGGCTGTAAAGAGAGCGTTACCAATCGTTGCTGTTACCCCGTCATCTGTTGGGACCCAAGAATCCATCATGACACAATTGGATGTCTACTGTCTGCTCCTGAGAAATGTCCTAAACTGACCAGGCAGGGCCAGAGAGAGGGACCCAGATGACATTGCCACCTCCATGAGCTTTGGCTAAATCCTGCGCATCACCTGGAACATGAGATTTGGGTTTCTGCTGTCAGCCCCCCCCCCATGCCAGGTTCCTTCCTTCTCCATCTTTTCTTATCTCTCTTGCCTTTTGTTTAATAATTCTGGGTAAGCCACCCAAGAAAGAGATTCACAACACTGCTGTGAGCCCGCAACCAGAGAGGCAATTCTAAGTAATGTCATAAACAGCCTAATGCAGAGATGCTGATACAAGTTTACCAGGTCTCAGAATGGCTGGTAAGACTGTGTACTGCACATGTTTCTCCACAGCAGGGTTGCAGGTAAGCATGAACACCACAGAAACTGCATTTGCTATCTTTGTGATTCTTTTCTATACCCTTTTGTGGCTATTTGTCTTTTTTGTCGAAAGGAAGCAGAATCGGATTTCAACATCAGCTCCAGTCCATCTCAACTAACTTTTTTCTCTCTTCCCCAGATAACTATCCCCAGTTGTTACCATATTTAATACTATCTAAAATAGTGTCGTACAAGGTTTTCCTCATTTAAAAAAAACAAAACTGTATACAACTAAAAGGAATAAGAAATATTGTTAACATGAAATTCTTACTTAGTACTTTAAATTCAAATGCTTTAACTGTTTTTCCTTTTTTCTGTATCTTTAATAAAAGATTATTAAGGATAGTCCTATGGGACAAAACAGGCTGAGGTGGCTATACTCGAAGCCCCAAACCATGTTTCAATGTTTAGTCTTGTGTAGTGACAGGGTCATATTAACACTTTTGGGGGGAGAGATGGCTCAGTGGTTTGAACAGTGGCCTGCTAAACTCAGGGTTATGAGTTCAATCCTTGAGGGGGCCATTTGGGGATTTAGTTAGAGATTGGTCCTGCTTTGAGCAGGGGATTAGACTAGATGACCTTCTGAGGTCCCTTCTAACCCTGATATTCTATGACTCTTTGGGCCCATTTTTTCCATTAACCTTAACATATCAAGCTCTTGCTAGCGTAAGCTCAAACAGGCACAACGTATTTTAGTGGTATCGTACCTCAGTGCAAATATTGTGTGGTAGAGGGATTGATGACTTATCGTAGAGTCACAAAAACATGTAGAATAAAGCAAATAATTTTGTATCTGATCATGAGAAATTTAACTTACTTTAAAATAAAAGCCAAAGCAAGTTTTCTGAGCTTTTTAGTTAAGTGAGTACTAGATGGTGCTCTTGAAACAAAAACTAGGTATAGATGGAGACTCCTGTTGTGTTTTCTTTGTAGCAGGTGAAAACTGTCAAAGAACATTAAATTACCACTTATCTTCCTGATTCCTTCCAAATGAGGATGGACGATACATAGAATCAGATCCTCAATTGGGGCTCAATTCTGCCAGGTGCTGAGCACTCTTGCCCTGACCCAGCAAAATGCTTAAGGCACTGGCTTACCTGTTAAGCATGTGAATTATCCCATTGAAATCAATGCTTAAAGTTAATTTTGTTTTTAAGTGTATCGTTGGAGCACTGTCGGGAACTTGGAACTTAGCAAGATTGAATCCCTAGTAGATGCCAGTTGAAGATCTGTTCCCCCCCCTATTTTTTCCTCGCATGTTTCTTTTTTCAAAGAGTATTCACTGTCAAGTAGTTGAATGCATTCTCAGAACCTCTTAAAAGTTCAGGGGGCAGAAGACATAAACTTCCATGAGTCTAGTAACATGCCCTGCGGCTGTAAATTTAAACTTTAATTTCTGGCTATATTTTCTCTGTCAGTTTCTAGGCCACAAACAGCTTTCTTAATGCATCACTTCTAATCCTGATTGACAGTAGCTGTTCAGTCATTGTGCATGTGTGTAATCGAAATGAAAGCTCCTCTCCTATTCCCTTCACTTTTATTGTGAATTGCAAGTGGTAAAAAGAGAAGTTCCATTTACAGCCTAGGTAACAAAATGGATTTTTTCTCATTTTCAGGGAAAAAATCCCACTCATTTCTCAATTTACAATAGAGCTATAGTTTTCTAGTTTTACTCTAACCCTTTTTCATTCTGTACATGTTAACAGTACTTCTAGTTGTCAACAGCCGCGCAATTTTATTGTAATAAAAATTAAACTAGCATTTTATGGATTGGTAATATGAATGTTAACATTCTGAGCAGTTAACATCCTAGTGCCCACACCAGATTTGAATTATTTGCTTTCTTTTTGCTCTACGGGAACAGTGCAAAAATATCAACCACTGTTATATATGTTTGCAAACTTAATAATTTTAAAAAAGAAGCTCAAATATCACTTACCCGAGGCAATTCTTTTTATCCATGGGAAAAGCTCTGTTGTACTGCTCACTGTCTCCCATGCTTGTGAATATTTTCTCTTTGTACATGGTTTCCACTTGTGTCTCTTTCCTTGAGACTAAAACATATTCTAACTAGAATAGTATATTCTTTAATTGCTTAAAATGTAACATTTTGCTGGGGGCGTCTAGGTTGTGATTATAATGCATGGAACATATCTCTTGGTTATATAAATTCAGTTGACTGATATAAAGTTAGAGCTTTTCAGCATTTTATGTGAATGTTGAGTTAATATTTCTTTTATCAGTTGCTGGTTATTTTTCTGCTGAACAGAGTCTTGGAAGAGTTTTCTTTGGTTGTAAAGAATGAGGATTAATGCTATTCTACATGGTCACAGAAATGTTCCTTGATATCATAGAACAGGTTTGACGCTCTCCTTCATTTGGTTTAATACTGTCCTCAAGTTTGGGCCTCATATTTGTTGTTCTTAAAGAGAGAGGTGAATTCTAAGGTATGTAGTGTGGTAGTGGAATAATGATCAGGATCTCTTTCAGTTAATATACCTGATGGCACAAGAATTACGGCTAGTGCATTGTGATTCAGGTATTAACTCCTTCCACAGCTTTTTCTTGAGAGAGAGAGCTGCTGGTTTTTAACCTTTTTGGGTTCCCTTATCTTGTTTTCAGTAGATCTGCACTTGAAGCCTTCCTTGTTTCAGCTTTCGCCATGAGAGCAGGAGATTTCATCTCACCTATTCTGTTTGATTCCATATTGTCTCTATATAAGTTTGCAGTTCTGTCTTCCACTTCCAATTATTTTTCTCTCCTTTCTTTGCCATCTGTGTAGCCTTAGGTTCTTGGCACATGGAGTTCTTACTTCTCCCTTGTGGTTTTTCCTACCTTGTCTCTCCTATATGTCCCCCCTCCTTTCTTTCTCCTCTTGCCTGGTTTTTCCCTCTTCCCATCTTGGGATTTGTAGCTGGCAGTACAAATTTTGCTAAGGACAGTTCTAATAAGACTTCCCTGGGGACTGCACCTTGACACAGTGGAACGCCTTATGTGTTCCACTGACCGAGAACTATGCTGGTGGGAGTTTTAACTCCTGGTAGGGCCATCAAGCTGGACAAGTGAAAAGATAGGGACCAAAAGAACAGCAGTCAACTGGTCCTCCAGGTTGGGGTTGAGTGATAGGCCAATAACCTATTTGCATAAAAATATTAAGTGATAGAAACACAACAAAGTAGGCATTCCAGCGAACAGCGTTATAGACAGGGGTGAAGGAGCTTTGTTCATGCTCTAAGTAATGTCTGACAGCACAGGTTCAGGATTCTAATAAGCAGGGAGTCTGAGAGCTGTTAAGTTCCCAACTTTAACCAATTTTGTGGATATTCTGGTGAATTGTAGGTTATATTCTTCTAGGCTCCTCCTTCTACTCCCCATAATTTCTGTCTCGATCATTCCCCTTTCCTTCCTGTATGGCTTCCACCTCTATGCCTTAGCAAAACTTGAATATCTTGTAGTGTTCTGCCAGAATGGAAATGAAATTATGATGGTAGCATAGCAGCCAATGATATAAGGGTGCTGGCAGCTTTAACTTGCATAATAATTGAACGAGTAAATAAAAATACTTTCTCTTTGCTTTTTCTTTCAGTATTTTAGTCATGCAAGTTGGATGTTTCTAAGACAGGCACATAAATCGGGTTCACTTGTGCATATTTCTAGCTAGTCATTTAGATTAGTTTGACACAATTTTTGGTTTGAAGGACATGTAATTTTTGGGTAAATGTACCTGGTCTTAATCCTTGCAGTCAGTCTTAGCCAATAGATTGCAGTCTGCATACACTTGTCCAGTTATGTATTCTGAATTATTTATAGTGCGTCAGATGTGCCTTATTCAGTCTGCCCCTGACTTAAATTAAGCTTTTAGGTGTTTCTGACTAAACTATACTAATAAACAGTGTTGTTTTCGAAAGAGTAAAAGTTTGTAGGTTGACATTGTCTAAATGAAAGTCTTGGTTTAATTGCAATCAAAATGATGCAGCTTATTACTGTTCTCTCCCATTTATTTTAATTTGTTCTATCTATCCTTCCTAAGAAGTTTAGCAATGATTTTTTTTCCCTTCTAGGGTGATGTATCAGCCGTTGAACACTTACTGAAAAATGGAGCAGACCCCAATGTTAAAGACCATGCTGGATGGACGCCATTGGTGGGTATCAACATTTTAATGATATTTCCATTTTTTTCCTCCACACTTCCATTTTTTACAGTTTGTTCTTTCCCATCCCTATCTTTATTGTATCCAAAACATAAAGAAGACAGTTATGAGAAATAGACTTCCTGATGACAATGTGAGAATGCTCTTCCTTTAGAATCATCCCACCTCTCCTCAAGTGTCATTGTTCTCTCTCACTTTTACTATCATATTCAGGATAATCTTCACCTATGATTTCTTAAGTGTGGAAAATTATCTCTTTCCAGGTTCGTGTGCAAGCACAGTTTCTTGTGCATCTTGTAAACTGTTAATACCATTAGAGCTGTAGTTCCCACCATTTTGGGTGCACATTAGACAGTGGAATTTGAACTTTGGTTAAATATATTTTTGTATTATCGCATGCTTGAATTTCATTAAAAAATGATAGCTAGTGAGTGCTAATCCCTTTTCATCCTCTGCCTTTTTCTCCCAAAGAGCGTGTTTGACCCTAGTCGACATAAAGGAATGCCTTCCAAGTTAGTCTTATTTGCACACCAGGTGGTCTCTGTTCAGTTCCTCTGTGCTCTTTATCAATGCCATGTTTGAAAAGATAATTACTCATGATGGCCATTGTATTGTCAAAATTGAATAGTGTCTCCATATCCTGCTGCCATTCTGAGAGAGGCTATGAAAGTGAATGCATTAACTCATGGTAACAAACCTCCATTTAAAAGAGAAAATTCTGTGCTTTCATTAGAATTTTATGTCTTTCTTTCCTGTGTGCTTCTTGTCAACATCACCGGCTAGCACGAGGCTTGTAATCATGGGCACAAGAAGGTGGTGAAGCTATTGCTACAGCACAGGGCACTGGTGAACACTACTGGGTATCAGAATGACTCACCGCTTCATGATGCTGCCAAGAATGGGCATGTGAGCATTGTTGAGCTGTTGCTCTCACATGGAGCCTCCCGGGATGCAGTGTGAGTAAATGTGTAATATTATTTTGTAATTGACTTTTTTATTTCCAAATTGATGTTGCTCTTGAAAGTACAGGATGTAACATTGAGTAAATTTGAACCAAAGCTCTTAATAGAATACATATGATTTTATTCAGTGGGAGTTTCTTTTTGTGTTCAATTACACAATGCCCTTACCTTCCCCTTTCTAACTTGGATGTTATCTTTTTTGCTTAGGCTTCAGGATTGTCCTAAGCTTTTCTTTATGAAGTTTGGAACAAATCACGAAGTTTGAGCTTTTAAAAAAAATTAGTAAACAACAACAAAAAATCTGAGTGCATAATGAAAATTATTACTGATATTTTTAAAAAGTACTTCCATTTTAGCTATTTATATTTCTGGTGAGTTTGCTCCATTGAAACACATGTAGCAAACATCTGGGGGAAGGGATAGCTCAGTGGTTTGGGCATTGGCCTGCTAAACCCAGGGTTGTGAGTTCAATCCTTGAGAGGGCCACTTAGGGATCTGGGGCAAAATCAGTACTTGGTCCTGCTCGTGAAGGCAGGGGGCTGGACTCAATGACCTTTCAAGGTCCCTTCCAGTTCTAGGAGATAGGATATCTCCATTATTTTATTTTTTTATTTATTTTATTGTAAAGTGACTGATACTGTCTCAAACACACAATAATTATTCATGGATTTATCTTTCTGATTGTCATCATATCAGTTGAATGAGATGCTGGGTTGATCATGTCATGCTACAGTGGCAGTAGCATTGCTATTTGTATCAGCAGATATTGTATAAAATCTGTAAATGGCATGTGCACATTACATGCTTGTAGTATGTAGCCTTGTCCATATCTGACTTGTTTGCTGAAGTATGTACCTCCTTGGCTATAGTGTCAAGTGGGGATAAGGAAGCTTTAATAAATTAGCTAGCTTCAAATGTTGTAAACATATTGAAGTTCTGTTACAGAATGGAGGTATTCGATCAGAAAATACTTCTAGTTTACATGAAATGTCAGAATAGAAAAATAAATCAGAAAAGTAAAAAAGGAATCCTTCCCTTGGCCCAGGCAGCATATTTAAAAAAAAAAAATAGGGTAGTACATCTGCTTCCTAAGGTATCAGCTTTCCAAGAAAAAACGTTCACCAGTTGGGTATTGGTAGCTGCCTGTATGGTTTTTACAACTCTCCTGGGCTTCTGAAAATATTACACAAACAACCAATTTTGGTATAAACCTTTTTGATAGCAGTCAAAAGACTGGAAAAATTGTACAGTAGAACTTTAAATTGGCAATACTAGAATTTTCAGGTCTCTCTTCTTATTAGCCCACCGTTTCTGCTAGATTTGCTATCAGAAACTGAAATGAAGCTGAGAGAACTTTTTTTTTTCAGTTAGCCATACTGGCAAATATATGACCACCTTTGGTCCTACTCATTTCAAATCAAGAAAATAGATTGAAGTCCAGTTCCATTCACAATGTGAACTGACAAGACCTAGTCTAATGTGGATATAAGCAATTTTCTAATATTTATTGTAGCAACAATAATATCTGAAACAGTGTGATATGGGGTATCCAAGACTACATCCCCTCTAAAATCAAATATGTTTTAGGAGTCTGGCTACAGGTGGTATCAGCATACTGCCATTAGTGGTACAGAAAAGGGTTTTGTTTGAATTTTTAAATGGGCAATGTTAATAACGGCGAGGCGCTATGACTTCATCATTTGCAGGATATACAAAATTAATTTATAGTTTCTTAAGTGGTTTCATAAATAGGTACCTAGCAAGAATTTTTAAATGTACCTTGCCAAAGGCTTCTGTAAAGCGAGTGATGTCTGAGAATAATGATAATGCTAGATAATTCTCATGGAGTAATTTCTACTGTGATTTATTTAAGCTTTATTAAAATTTTCTGGGTACAAATTTAGCATTCTTTGTGTTTCATCTCTTGCAAATGGACCTGCAAGTGACATGGGAAGTATTTAGTGTTTTGCTACTTGGTAAGTGCCACAAAAATATTTTATTTTCCTGATCTGTTTGTTTTCCTTCTGTATCTGTTGCTGAGATGCTATTGTGTAATACACTACTGTAGTAGTTGCAGAATTACATCAAAGATCTTTTCTTCCCATTTGGTAAAAGCAATTTGTCCTCTTACTCCAGTAGATGAAGTTATTCCCATGTTGTAACATATAGAAGAATGCCACCCCTTCTACAATGTCAGGAGTAAGTCTTCAATGTAATAGCACAATGTAAGAGCTAGGTATTTTTCATCCGTAAATCCCAACATGCTTTACAAAGGAGGCAAGTATTATTAGTACTATTTTACAGATGTGGAAACTGAGGCACGGAGAAAAGCTGACATTAAAGTGTAAACAAAACTTCTAAGTCGTAGAGATACTTCTTTCATAATGCTTGCTCTTACTCCCAGTGCGACAGCGCCCCACGATGAGACTCCTGCAGTTCCCTCTGCCTCACAGCTTTTCATTCTTCTCTTCGCCATCCCTTGCTTCAATTTATTTTCAGTGAAAGCATGACATAACGTGACGTCACATAAATTCTGACTTTTCTAATTGCCTTTGCAGCAATAGTTGTGACCGATGTGGTAGTATAGAGGTTCAAAGCTCCTTATTGATCAAGGCAGGATGGTTTCTTAACACTGAGTTGATAATACCATTGTCTTTCAGGCTATTTATGTACATGGGATTTCTGTCACTATCAGCCAGGTTTTTAAAAGGGTAGAGATTGAGTAGTACTGAGTTTTGAGCAAGGTCTGAAGATTTACTAGCTGCTTAAGAGTCTACTAGAAGAATGCGCAACTTTAAATGGAAGAAGTTTGTGGTCTTAGCCTGTACTGCTCAAACTGCTTTGCTGTTTTCTTCATCTCAGTTCATCTGGCTAATATTCCAGTTTTCTACTAATTTTTGTTCATCCCCAGCTCCCCAGGCTCTTGAGGAGCTTAAAACTTCTTATTAAAGCCCTCTTTGACATGGGATATAAGTGGTTCTTAATTAGCTGATTAAACCTTTTAGAGCCATATAAAAGCCTGAATAATCACCAGTTTTTCCTGTATATCTCTCAGCTCACTAAATTTTGTCAACATGTTAAGGAAACTTACCTTAGTGAAGTCAGAGAATGTAGAGATAGAGTGAGAAAAGCCAAAAGCCGTGTAGAGTTGGACCTCGCGAGGGGAATTAAAAGCAATAGTAAGAGGTTTTACAGCCATATAAATAGGAAGAAGTAGGACCGCTGAAGACTATAGCCGGAGAGGAGATTAAAGATAATCTAGGCATGGCGCAATATCTCAACGAATATTTTGCGTCGGTGTTTAATGAGGCCAATGAAGGTATTAGGGATACTAGCACCGTGACAGAGGGGCAAACAGAATGGGGGATTACCGTATCCGAGGTAGAAACAAAGCTCGAACGCCTTAATGGGGCTAAGTCGGGAGGACCGGACGATCTTCATCCGAGAATATTGAAGGAATTGGCGCGAGAAATAGCAGGCCCATTAGCGATAATATTTAATGAATCTGTAAACTCGGGGGTGGTTCCGTTAGACTGGAGAATAGCTAATGTGGTTCCTATTTTCAAGAAAGGGAAAAAAAGTGATCCGGGTAACTACAGGCCTGTTAGTTTAACATCTGTAGTGTGCAAGGTGCTGGAGAAAATTCTGAAAGAGAAACTAGTTGAGGACCTTGAGGTTAATGGCAAGTGCGATAAATTACAACATGGTTTTATGAAGGGCAGATCGTGCCAGATGAATCTGATCTCCTTCTTCGAGAAAGTAACGGACTTATTAGATAAGGGAAATGCGGTGGACCTAATATACCTGCAAAAAGAAGAACAGGAGGACTTGTGGCACCTTAGAGACTAACAAATTTATTAGAGCATA